TAATCCGCAAAGGAAAGCAGAAGACACAGCTTCACGCAAACTCTTTTTGGGGTTGGATTTCAAGGACCCCACAAATATCGTTCACGGGATTTTCCATTAATCTTTTGCACTCGCCCAACCATTCCAGCGACGGCGACAATGTGCGGAAACAGCTCAACAAATGGTGGCTGTGTATGAGGGAAGGCAACTACACTAGATTACCTACTGCTGAAAGATTTGTGAACTTCCTTCTAAAGGCTGCAACTCGAATGAAACTGGTTTTGGAGAGAAGAAGAAACATTCCAAAATGCAGGTAGGATTTTTTCCCAGCGGTGGACACTAGATTCCTAGCTAATATAAGGAGTGCGTAGACTACTTCCTAGCTAACATGGGAGCAGCTAGAGACGAACCATGGAGCGTGAAGGAGCGGGAACTCCAGAACTTCATAAAAAAGCCTTCCGACAAGTACCGAGAGGGTTGCATGTCGTTGGTTCTACGTTGCTGCGACTAGGACACGTCCCGGTGCTAGAGAACATATCTCAAAGTGGGACCGCCCCCTCCGTGGCACCTAACAAGTAAACATTAGAATTGAAAGAATCAGCGACTGGGAGGGCTGACGCGCGCAGTGAAGCGAGAAAAATCGCCTAATCTCAACACCGCATTCCTTCTCGGGCCATCGAGCACAATAGACTCCCTGCGTGAGGATCCGCAAGATGCCCTGGCTGCCGGAAGCACGAAAAAGGTATGGAAGTGAAATCGTGCGTGAAGTTCCCACCGGCACGAAACCAACACCCAGTGTGGCAGCGACGCTGCTGTTTTGAGGCAAACTAGTTAGGTAGATTACATCTATTTGTTTGGTGGCTTCTCCAAGCATGAGAGCTAAAGGCTGCACAATAATCGAGCCACTTGTTTTCTTTTCATCTGGGACTGCAAACCAAGTCTCAGAAGGCAACCTTGCCCACGTTCTGCCAGGTGAAACCTCAATTCAGAACATATTCTGTGAATGTGACCTTGTAGGCAACTCCTCTTTGTCGACATGATCCATCATATTGGAATTGAAAAAATTAGAATAAATATAAATAAAGGATAAAAGGATAGTCTTCGCCGTTGATCAATCCCTTGGCATGCACGCATTCTACTTCCATTCAGAATCGTAGTGGCTTATTGAATGCGATGTGGCCTATACAATGACTTGCGGTGGCCAGCCGATGTACAAGTCAGTGTTTATCCTCCCAGACGAATCTGGTACCAATTCACCGTCCCCGGAGGGTAGAAGGCTTGGTTGGCCTGGGCGGGAGTCGACCCGGGATTTGAACCCGGCGCCGCGCGAGTGGTAAGCGCGCCACTTGTCACTACACCACCTCCGCCTCAAAAGCACGAGAAATTATATGACTCTTAGCTGAAACGCAATTTTAAGTGGTTATCAAATATAATATAGATAATAAAATATAATATATAAAAATATATATAATAAATATAAATTAAGCCCGGCTGTTACTTAGCCACTAAAACAAAAATTCTCGCATCTCCCAGACTGATTTCCCGCTAAAAAACGCAGAAAAAAACAGGATAGAACCCGCTCCAACCACAATTCGCAGCGACAACTTGACCTTTCCAGATTGTCGGGCTCTGGCTATTGTCTTCTACTGCAAAATATTGAATAGTCAGGCACGAGAAAGCAAACGCTTAGCTGGAACGCAATATAAGTGGTTTTTATTCCTCGAAATGCCACACGCTTCCCATCGCTTCCATTCCAAGTTTTTCCTACCTTATTCTTCGGGAAAATCAACTGAAATCACTATCAGCCGAAGTACCTTTAGAAAAGGTCGATGAGGTGGATGTTAAGCATATACAGGCGGCTTATAGACAAGTTTGCTGTCGATTGAAGTGCTTGTTAGAGTCTTACATGAGGGGACACTTCCATTCAAGAATACGAAGCTCGAGACCCTTATGCCGCTATGACTACATGCTCGACTACCAGCGTTTAGTAAGCAACCCACTCCCCAATTCTGAGGACGATTCAGAGATCTAGAAGGGTTACTGGATTAAATAAAATGAAAGAATTTACTGAATTTAAGCTGTATTATGTGCTTATCGTTCTGACGAGAAAAGTTCCATCTGGTAGCAGCGCTCGTATTCTTTATCGCTTTGGAAGCAGAGGGTCGTACTCTGAACCTGACTCGTAGGAACGCTCAAGCGTTGAGTCGGAAAGGTTCTTCATCTCCGCCTATCCGTTCATCGTGGAGTTTCAAGAAACAAATGATCTCTATCTTCGGTCATTGAAGACTCCACAGCATCCTTTTTCTATCCAGAATTCTTACAAATCGTGCAATCCAAACGAAAACCAACTGCGATTATTTCTCAACTTAAGGCCTATGATTTTCTAGAGCTTTCCATCATCGATCTCAGCCACCGCCGAGATTTCGGATCTGTTTGGAGCGACCCTGGATTTCAAGCTTGCATTTGGCATGAATACCTTCCGTGACATCTGACAGTAAAAAAAATTTGATGTACTATTGCTGGCGTTTGATGTAATTGATGTAAATTTTAAAATTTTTCGTTTGATGTAAATTTGATGTGTTTTGATGATGTAAATTTGATGTACTATTGCCTCCTCAACCGGAGGCAACTCAGAAACGCCATGCGCTGTGATTACGCCGTGTTCGAATTTTCCAAATAAATTGTAAGGAATGCTTTTCCTCTATTCACAAGGCATTTTTCTTTGGCTAGCACTTTCGTTGAAAGAAGTGACGAATTCAACGATAGCCGTTGCTATGGGATCACTGGCTATAGAAAACACGATGACGATGATTGCATACCTGCCGAACACATAAAATGCTAACCGCTACCTACTCTCTATTATTGTCAGGCAACCTTTCTCGGTTGACATTTCACGGCACGATGCACGTGAATTTTCCTCATTCATTCTGATTTCCAGAAAGAGTCGGGGAGGGGAGTATTTCCTCGTTTGGTTCTTACCCAAGGTGTGCAGCAAGGCGATCGACCGTGCATCGCGAAATAGCGTGCGGCGACCTGTGCGGCGAGCTAGTAAAAGACTCAGGCCATCAGAAGCAAAGAAAAACAAACATTGGGAAAAGGAATACACTCCAAAGCACAGATGATCCGTTTCGCTCGGTATCGCAGACGAATCATCATTGTCTAGCCAACCCCCGGCTCGTCAGTGCGACAGGTTGACGACATGAGGACATGGACAACATAGGGGAAGGAGTTGAGAAATAGGATAAAACGAGAGAAAATGTAAAAAAAAGGTTAACATGCAAAATTCATGCAATGCCAGAGGACCAGTGGATTCCGTAGGTCACGATATCATGTTGCGATCAAAGCATCCTTGGCAGGGCACATCATTGGCCGACGATTCAGTCGCAGTGCGCACTACCCACCCCCCCCTTGTTTGGGGTTGGTGGCAACCCCCCCCCTCCGGTCCTCTGTCCCTCCTCATCGAATCCACGGGGGTGAGTGAGTAAATAGCACACCTGAAACAGGAAAAGCCGCGAGCTGACATTACGACTCCCCCCCCTTCTTACAATTTTCGCGATTTTTCCGCACTTCCTGCCACCTTTTTTCCAAATTTCTCAAACTTCCCCTATCTTTTACCAAAAATTTTGCCGTCAAGCGGTACATAGTACGCATGAAACGGGAAAATCACGAAAAGTCAACCACCACTCCCACTACTAATGGAAAGGCCAGAAAGTAAATAAATTCGACCTCCTATCAACAATGAGCAGGTACGAGCAGGTACGACCCCCCCCCCGCCTTTACAACATCCGTGAAGCGAGAAAATCAAATATCAAAACAAATTTTTCTCAGCCCAAATACGACCCCACCTCAGGGAAAAGCAGGGGCTTGCGGATCCTGAAAAAATTTACCATAAAATCTTCCAGATAGTAAGAGCCAGCGCGCTATATCGGGCAATCAGAAGATGACAAGGATTTTAGGCAAGCGCTCAAAGCTAAAAACGAAGAAAGGGCACTTCTTCAGATACTTGATTGCTGGAATGGCAAAAATGACTGACCAAAATAAAGTGGAAACCGGAAGAAAAGAATGAGAGCTTTTACGCCTGGCCCGAAGGTTGATCACATGGCTTCGAGGAAGACGTATCGACTTCACAGGAAACGACCACCGCCAAGTAGGCCATGCGTTTTTGCTCCAAAAGATGTAATATTTGTAACGCCGAACTACTCTTCAGAACAAAGTTTCTGTCAACTACACTCCCGCAGAAGATTCAGATAAAAACGTTGCCGGAATTTGAAAAGGCTGAGCTGTAAAAAGTAAGCAGAAGACGAAGTTCCTTCTGGGCATTCCAGCATTTCACCTTTATTCGGATCGTGGCTTGCGATGTGGCCTATACCAAGACTTACGAGGCCAGTCGATGTACAAGTCACCGTTAGCCCATCATGTTATCCTACCAGATGAATTTAGAACTAATCTCGCGTCTTCGGAGGGCAGAAAGCTTCGCTGGCCTGGGCGGGAGCCGGTACGAGATTTGGCCCCAGACCGCGCGTTTGGTAAGCGTTTCACTTACCGCTACACCGCCTCCGCCTGCTGAATATTCATCTTTAGATAGTGACTAGAAATTAAGGTTTCGGCTCTTCCGAGAGTCCGTTTCTAAATTGGTCATAGTCGTGCAAAAACGTTAGCAGTGACCTTAGATATGCTTCAGAGGCCAAAAACGGGGTGCGTGGATTTTTTTTTCGGGGTTCCATTCCCGTGATGGCCTTCAAACTGCCTTTTTTTCAACTACTACGCGCCATTGATTTTTCTTCTTATTTTTCTATTCAATTCAAGAACCGAGCACTTTTGGGGCTCATCATAATGGTGTTCAGAAATGAAATGGAAACAGCTAGGGGGATGGGGGGGGGATTACTGAAACGAATCTTTATTCTCCTGGCTCCTCCATTTACTTTATGAAAGCAATATCTAAATAAAAAAATCACCACGTGATAAAATCTCGGGTGGAGGGTCAAGTCCGAATTTATCCGTGCAGAAGATGTAGCACAACCCTATTCGTCCCACCATCCTAAAGCTTCCTCTTTTGCTCGTTGCTCTGCATCTCTCGCACTGTAAAAGACTTCCATTACTATTTCAAGTCATTCTGGGAAATAAACATGTTGTATTTACCGTCTGGCCAATTTCCCCTCCCGAGTGATACGGTCGATCTCCTCTCGTTCGTCCTCAGGTACATAGCGATTTCTATCCGGGATTCGTGGGTCTTGATCATCTTTCCAGTCTTCTACCAGATCTGGAAGGCGTTTCTCCAACGAGCGAACTCCGTCAATGTAAGCCTGTACAGCTTCACTCTTGGTCATACCTAAATGAACCCTTTATAAGAAGACTGTTGGAACGGATTGGAGCTAGCCTTGACTGCGCATTTCATAATTTATTTGTTCGTTTATTTTATTTTATTTGTCTATTTATGCGTCAGAAAATCGCGCTAGATAATAAGGACACCGTGTAAATTAGCGAGACAAAGCAAACTACAAATTAAAATTTGTAAATCGCCTCCACTTGTACGAACGGAGGGAACAAAACGAGGAGTCAATCAACAGGAACTGGTCACCAAGAACTGGATCTCAGAACTCGAAAAACAGGAGGGTGACAGTTTTTTCTAGTTTGTTTACTTAGACGTTCTCCATCAAAAAAAAGCGGGTCCTAATGAGCACTTCGGGAGACGGGCAAGAGAATCGTAATTTGCCGCTCCGCCGCGCGCGGCGATGGGCGCGGCGTTTTCTTAACTCGTGTTAACCTGTCGACTGGAGCACCGGACTTCATGTAGACCCCGTCATCGTAGACATTCATGACTATTTTCGGTTCTGAATTGCCTGTTGTCGCCATCTACTACCTGGAACCATCGTCATTTGCGGCGCGACGTCGCACGCGACGCCACCAGCGCGGCGAATTACGATTCCCTTGTCACATACCCGAGCATTTTTGAACCGAGCCTTTAAATTCTGCTTAACCATTAACTTTCATGCTTTTGTAGAGTATAGTTACCACTTGCCTTTGCACTTATTCCATGCGTGCCATTTCTCGTTGCCTTTTATCCATCCCCACATCCAGGACTCTTCGACTGGATCGATGTAGTCGAGCTCTGAAGGAAATGACCGCAACTTTCAGAAATCTACTTCTGGATTTCGTCGTCACTGGTATGCATCAATTTGCTTCCGCTTGGTGCTGTTCGGTTTGGGAAGGGCATTTGGCACATTCGCCAGTTTTTTGTGAGTTCTCGTTGCCTACACGTCTGACTTGGTGAGAAATGAAGACTCTCGAGTGCAAATGAAGCCTCTGCTACTGCATAGCTTTACGTGAAGTCACAGGTCCCCTCAGGAGGCATCAGCAGTTATCGATGGGACAACCAAAATGCCCTCACCAGGCCGAACTGCACCTCGCTTTACAATAAACTTTCTCTATCACAGTCTCTAAAGGAAAAAAAAACATGCTGCGACA